ACAAAAAAAAAAAAAAAAAAAAAAAAAAAATCCCAAAATGGCAGGAATCAGAAGAAAGTAGCAGTCTAAAAGCAGGAGTTATGACAATGCTTTAAAACTCTGGATAAATTCCACTGATGGTGATCAGGTGCTGAACCTGTGTGACTGATAGATAAGCTGACTGTGGACACTTCTCTCCATTTCCGCTGGTCCCGCCTTTGTCCGCAGCCATGTCCTCACTGAGTTGTGGTCACTGCCTTCCAGCGGACCTCCCTGCTTCTCTCTGTTCCCTCCAGACCTGCCTCCCGGGCCCTCTCGCCCACGTGCCCTGCTCTCCCCAGCACTGGCGCGGCACTGATCCCGGTGCCTGCGGGGCCTGTCCTCTCACTGTGTTAAGGTCTTGACTCAGGTGCTACCTTCGCAGGAACGTCTTCCCTGACACTGTGTTTAAATGGATCCTCCCCCAAATCTCCAATGTTCTAGTCGATCAGTTATACTATTTCCTAAAAATGTCTCTCTGTGCCTTTCCGCATTCCATTTCCTCAGTCAGGAGAACTTTACCATCTTTTCTTTAAGGGATACGTCAATTCTCATCACCTCAACTCCCATTACACTTACTCTTTTTACCAGTCACTTGGCTGTCAGCATGTTGCTTTGCAGTATGAGTGTTTTAGGCTTATGTCTTGTTTCACCAACCAGATAAGTTCTTTAAGGACAGGGATCATCACAGACTCTCTTGAATTAACCTGCACCCAATATAAAGAATCATCCTGGAAACTGCAACATATGTGTATAAACATCTCCAACAATTTGGTACTGTTCCATGTATCAAAATAAGTCATTCATAATTAATAAATTATCTTTGAAACTACTAACTTTAATGGTTATGAAAGTTCTCAGAAATTGTTCAAAATTAAGTTTATTTCAAAAAAGCCTAGGAACCATAGTGGTGACTTATGTTGAGTAATATACACTCACATCGGAACACATATAACACTACTCATCAAAAATACCCCTCAAATTATGTTACTTATAATATTTTATGGCAAATAACTTAAACCAGCAATATATGCTTTAAATACACATTACCATAATGTGAATTTCTCTCTTGGAAAGTAGTTCCTGAAGAAGCTCTATTGCATCTGGTTGCCAGACATTCCCAACCTATTTGGAATTAAACAACTCACATTCTTTTACATTTTCATAGAATAAGATAAAGCAGTCAGCAAGATATACAAAAGTAGCCAAAAATAGGTAATATAGTAGCACAAAATACACAAGCAGTTTTCAGAGACTATAATGGATATATGATAAAAATGATCTTAAAAAACTAATAATCTGACAGCTTCTCCCATAGCACTCACTTAAAACATCTTATGCTTTAGAAATATAAGCCTACATTAAACAAAACATCACATTCGAAAGTTTAAAAAAAGACCAATATGCCAATGGAGTGCTTGTATGAGACCTACAAGACATAATCATTAAAGAGCAGTAACTGTGATGTTTTTATGTGTTAAGAGGTTCACACGGCAAGGACGTGAGACTTCCTGCCAACAGCCATGTGGGCGCGCCATCTGGAAGTGGGTCTTCTGTCCCCAGGCAATCGTTCAATGACTACACTTCTGGGGCACATCTCAACCGCAGTATCACAAGGGGTCCGTGTGCCATGGACATAATTGTATGACATAATGAAAATTTATTGTTGTTTAAGACCACTAAGTTCTAGCTTAATTTATACAGCAAGAGATAATTAATATTCCACTCTTTTATACAGCAAGAGATAATTAATATACCACTCTTTTTTTATCTGGTTTACAGCTTCAAATTTGTTGTAATTTCATCTGATAAAGAAATAACTAAATTTTTACAATCTTACACCTTCCCGACTATGCATATATTATGTCTCTTAATTTATTTAGATGTTTTATGTCCTTCAGTATAATATTGTAGTTTCCTTTAGCTGTCTTATTGAACTTATTTGTAGGTATTTTATTATTTTTGTTGCAACTGAAAATAATTTTATTTTACATTCTAATTTCTTAAAAATTATTAATAAAAAACAATATTTAACATTAATCATCCCACAAATTACTATGTACTCTACAGGCATGGTGTTACAGAGCTGACAAAGAATACAAAACTGAGGTGTATCAGGATATAGCAAGACAAGGTAAAGATGACACTGTGGAATCTTCTCCATAAATCCATGACCTAAATATTGTACCTGAAACAGGCCACATAAAATCTTTATTTAAAATTTATTACTTAAAGCTAGGGGAGATTTCCTGGTATTAAAAAGAAAAACAAAAAAAGACATTCTGGAAAGAAAACTAAATTTAGATTTGGAAAATTTCCAGGAAAAAAGCAACATTATATTCCCTCATCCTAAAGTGTATCAAACTTCATTGCAAAAACGTTTTCTTGCACATAACCTATAAACAAAACTTTTTAAAAACATTGGTCTCATTAGACTCACAAACTCTTGGAGAGAAACAGTTTCTAAAAATGCTTTAATTTTGGTATTTCAATTTCTAAACTGTCTTAGGAATAAGAAATGCCATTAAGTTGTTTCTTTTGCCCCAATGTAACAAAACGAACACATCTCTGTTTAATTGGGTTTGCTTGGCAGTCAGCGTTTTAAAAAATGAAATAGAACTGAATAAAAAATAATGAGTATATCACAGGTAGTGAGGTTGAGTACGGTTTCATAACATGTCTCTCTCTTTATTTTTTTTTTTTTTTGGCAGCTGGCTGGTACAGGGACCAAACCCTAGAACTTGGTGTTACAAGCACCACACTCTAACCATCTGAGTTAACTGTCCAGGCCCTAAAATGCTTATTTCCTAATGTGGATCATAGGATAAACTTTGAAAGATACCAGGTTAAGGAATGAAAAATTCATTGTGTATACTCGAAACGTAAAATGGCCATGGTGGGGGGGAGGGGAGGAGGTGATGATTAAACTATCACAGTACTTTTAAATAAGTTAAAATAAGTTATATTTTATATTTGAAATAACTTATAATAACATATTAAAATAACACATTTGAGATATTTAGAGCATAAGAAAAAAATTCACCATGTTTTTTATTTGGATTCTGTGTATGTAAAGTTCATGAAGTATGATAATGTGATGAAAACTGAATTTCAGTTTACCTTTGTATTAAAGAGGAAAAGAGGAGGAGTTATTTGGACAACCCAAAGGTATGTGGAAACTGACCATTTTCATATAAACACATGAATCTGCAAGTATTCAGAGGTTTAAGTACTCGCCTAAAATTTGAGATCATTTTACTTATATTAAAACCATTAAAAGTTAGTAGTCCAGCAGAAAAATCATAAGACTTAGAACCAGAAGTTTAGGAATCAGATGCTTGGATATGAACTCCAGCATCACCGTCCACTGGTAAGGGTGACCTTGGCAGATCACTGAACCTAATTCAGTTTTCATACATATCAGTAAAATAGGAATAATAATCTATGTTTGGGATAGTTGTAGACAAATTATAAAATATGAAGGCACATATGTGAAAAAAGCTAAAAATCTTGAATTTCTATGTAATTGTTAGGTATCACCATCAAACAGAACATAAACTTCTGTCCAAAAAGAAACAAAAAGACCTTTCTCCTTAATCCCCCAATTAAAACTAAAGTTTTTAAGGGCTGAACCAACTTCATTGCTTTACTTAGTAAATACAATGTAAATGAAGGTATTTTTATCCATATTTTTCTATGTACATTTTCAAAGCATGCAGCTGGTTTTGAAGATCTTGAATGAAATGCGAGTGTCCCTCACTAATTTGAGGGTCCCTCACTAATTTACCTTGAAAGGTAAATTAGCCTTCACCAAAGAATTAGCAGGGCCATAAACAAGTTTGCTAAGGAGACATATAACATATCGGAAAACAACTTGTTTTACTTAACACTGTGTGTGCAAATAGGGCTACTGATCACAACTAAGTGATCCATTCATTAAAAACCAGTGATCAAATCCCTCCCTGGAAATACTTTCTGGTTATCCAGGTTACTAAATACATTGAAAAAAATTCTTATTACAATTAAAAGTATACTGCATCTGACTGGTCTTCCTACGTGACTGAATTCATCAAAAGATGTTTAAATCAAATTTTCACGTGTTCAGACTCAGAAGACCACTTAATATTACAGCATTTAGCCTTAGGAATGTCACAGGAGAACATGGGACTCACCTCAACAGTGCCGCCTACAACTCCCATTACCCTGCCTCGGTACCACATAGTATCAGATCCTCTTACTGCACAGGCTTCTCCCTTTTTCCAGAAATAAGGCTCCAAAAGACCAAGGCATTTTAAATTACTTTGAATTTCATTCATCATTTCTACTAGCTCAAATTCTGAAGAGATTATTAAAAGTAGAAAGCGTTTACAAAAAATTCCTTAGTACTTTTCAATAAGAAGTTATCATTAATCTTTAATAACTTCATAATGTAGGTAAAATAAGGAATTAAAAATCAGTCCCATAATAGAACTTTCATAAAGATAATTCAGTTATTAGCTTCAATTTGTTTCAAGACATACTACCAACAGCATATAAACAATTATTCTGATATCTGATTACATTTTGAGAGTGCAAACATCATAAAGAGCTCTGAACACATAAAAAAGAGCTGCCAGTTTAAGACGTCAGTTTGACAGCACACCTAAGTAAAACGGCACACAAGTTATGTGCTACTCAACGCTTAGATACAGTATAATGCTGGGGATATAAATTAAAATTGTAATTTTGTGGGCCGGCCCGGTGGCGCACTGGATAAGTGTGCCACTTGGGAAGCGCGGCAGCGCTCCCGCCCGAGGGTTCAGATCCCACATACAGACCGGTTCCCGCTCACTGGCTGAGCAAGGCGCGGGAGCAACACCGAGGGTTGCAATTCCGTTGCCGGTCCCGGTCCAGTACAGGGGCAACACTGAGGGTTGCAATCCGTTGCTGGACATGGAAAAAGACAAAAAGACAAAAAAAAAATTGTAATTTTGTTTTTATGCTAATTGGCCCATTATTTCCACAGTAAATGTATATCCCAATAACTGACACCACAGAAGGCACGCTCTGGAGTCAGTTCCCATCCCAGTCCTACTGCTTTAGTTGTGTGATCATGGGTGGTTCCTTTATCTCCAAAAGCCTCATTTTATTCTTCTGTAAACTGGGTATAACAGCGCCTACCTGTATCATCAGCACTGCGGGAGGATTAAACGTAAAGCATTTAGCACAATGCCTGGCACATAACAATCAACCAGTTTTAACAATGACTATTTATACATGCCAAGCAAAGCTTCTGAGTTAGGGCCGGCCCGGTGGCGCACTGCTACAGTGTGCCGCTTGGGAGCGCGGCGGCGCTCCCACTGAGGGTTCGGATCCCACATGCAGACCGGTTCCCGCTCACTGGCTGAGCGAGGTGCGGGCGCGACACCGAGGGTTGCGATCCCGTTGCCGGTCCCGGTCCGGTACGGGCGCGACACTGAGGGTTGCGATCCGTTGCCGGACATGAAAAAAGACAAAAAGGAAAAAAAAAATGTAAGTAGTTAGCTTCCTATGTACAATAAATGAAGGGTATGAATAACCTAATTGTACTTCAGGGGGTTTTGTTCCAAATGTTCAAACACACACAAACACACACACACACACACACACACACACAGAAAAAAGAAAAGAAAGCTTTGGCTCTCAGATTTTTTAATACTGGAATGGCAGATAGGAAGGTATAGTATGTGCCAGAAATTTTGTACATGTTATTTTCAATTCTCACAAAAAAACTGTGAGGTAGGTAATTATATCTACATTTCAAAGAGCATAATGCTGATAGTAATAAAAGGTAAAGAGAGTTTTTCATGGTGATGCAGGTAAATGACAAGCACTTCAGTAAATTCCAAGTATGCCTTTAAAGCACAGCTGTCCAGTAGAAATATAATGTGAGCCACATATGTAATTAAAATTTTTCTAGTATCTATGTTAAGATAAATTTTAAAAAATAGGTCAAATTAATTTTAATAATATATTTTATTTAACCTGTGTATCCAAAATACTATGACATGTAATCAATATTTTTATAATGTCACTGCAGATTAGTGGAAAAAAGTGTGGAGTTCTAAGTAGATGGGCTGGGACAACTGATTAAAAAATGAAATTGGATTTCTTCTTCACATCTACCCCAAAATCAATTCCAGGATTGCTTAAAGAGTTAATGTAAGAAAAAAGAATTGTGAACAGTTTTTATAAGGTCACATAGTGGAATACGTTTTTGATCTCAGAGTAAGGAATGACTTTTTAATGAGATGCAAAACAACAAAACAAACAAAAACAAAGAAGAAGATTTATAAAATCACATTTAAAATGAAGACCCTCTGTTCATTCAGAAACTTCGAAATGACACTGAAAAGGCAAGTGAGAAACTGAGAGAAGATATCTGCAACTCATAAAACTGAGAGAGGATACATGTTCAGGATCTATGAAGAACTACGAATCAGAAAACAATAACTTCATGGAAAGTGAGCAAAAGACATGAACAGACACATTCCATAAATGTGCAGATATGTATGAATAACTCACATAGAAGAAAAGGTGCTCAACCTCATAGGTAATAAAGGAATGCAAACTAAAGTCACAGTGAGAGGTTCACACCCACTAGATGGAAAGACTTAAAAAGTCTGACAATATCAAGTGTTACCAAGGTTGTGGAACAATGGAATTCTCATGCACTGTAAATTGCTACAAACCACTCGAAAAACAATTTGGCATTATCTAGTAGTGGTGGTCACACACACACAATGCTAAATAATCCACCAATTCTACTCACTGAAACCCTAGAAAAATTCTTCCTTGTATCAATAAACAGATACAAGAATGTTCACAGCAGCATTTTTTATAATAGCAAAAGTCTAGAAACATAGAAGTCCATCAACAGTAGAATGAATAAACCGAGATATAATCATTCATTGGAATACTATTCACAAAAATGAATGAAATATAATTATATGCATCTAGGTAGATGAAGCCTGAAAATTTTGATGAAAAGTCACAAAAAGATAAGTACATTCTGGTTCCATTTACATAAAGTTTGAAAGATGGAAAAACCAATTTGTTTAGTGATACACACACAGGTGGTAGACTATAAAGAAAAGCAAGGAAATGCTAATCACAAATTCAGGAAATTTGGTTATATCTTGGGTGGTGAAAGGGGGGACGTGGTCTGCTGGGTGCACACAGATCTTCCAAGATTCTGGTAATGCTTATCCTGGGTAATGTGTATATGGTTACTCATTTTAATATTCTAATTTAAATAACACCTTTTATGTTATATACTCTTACATATTTATAACGTATTTTACAATAACTTAAAAATTTGTTTGGGCATCTACACTTAGTGATTTTTAACATGATCACATTAACCCTAACACTGTGTTGTGGAAGTGATCCTTTGGGATCCCATCTTCACATGAGGGATCCTTCACGTTTCCTATCAGATTTCCCAAAGGGGCCTTGGGCTTTATTTCCTTTTTCCTGAACTTTGTGTAGGTATCGAAGAAGAAGTTCAAGGTGCCACAGTGGCTCTGAGGCAAGCTCCTTCTCTCCCACTGTTCTGGTTTCATTTTGTTTTGGAGCTTGGTATATTCTTTACTTTCATGCCAATCCAGTAAATGTCAATTAGAAAGAAAAAATATATAGGCATTTTACCTGACTTATTTGGTAGAGTTGTTCAATCTGTCATAATAGCAGAGATGAAAATTCCAAATTCCTTTCTTATACCGTGAATAGCTTTCACATAATTATACTACATTAACGTTGCTATGTTAAATTAATAATGAAAAACTCATTAAGTGATTTTTATGTGCTAGGCATTGTTAAAGCACTTTGCATGCATTTCATGTAATCATTTCATCCTCCTAAAAACCCTGTGAAAATAAGGTTCAAAGAGGTTAACTGCTTGCCCAAGGTATTCCAATCTGTGTCTATCTTACAAGCGAACTGGAGCTTCTAGGCCTACTTTTACTGACTAATCCTACATAACCTAAAAGATCTTACCTGATAATTTAGATATTACAAATATAGTTCCATCATCACCAATGCAGCTGACTATTGCCTCAAATTCTTTCAGGTTAGGAATAGCTGGTGGTTTATAGCATCTAGTGGTTCTTGGTTCTAGAATTTTCTATGTAAATTCATAAATTCTTAAATTTTCTACTTAAGTTTTCTACTTAAATTCTACTAAAAACCACAAAGTTAATTCTACTTTAACTTTGTAATCACTTATTATATCAGCAGCTTTTTTGTCAGGGTCAAAATTAACTTTAATACACTTAGTAACCAGTGAATCTTCTTGACCCAGAGGGATTTCCAGAGACTTCTCTGATAATGAATGGCTGCTATCTAATTTATTAATTCTGTAACATACAAAAAAGAACACTTGTAAACACAAGCAAATATAAAATTCTGGAGAAAACAATGTAAAAAGAATCCACCAATATACTTGATATTTAAAGAAAATATTTGCTCTCCTCTAGGATATGCTAATCTAACTTGTTACACGAAAAGAGCATAATTTAACTTATAATGAAAATTATTTTAAATTATAAATGAGATTAAAGAGAAAAAAGCAATATAATTTCACTTAAATGTTTTAAATTACTACCTTGTATCTACATGCTATTCCCTCAGAATCTCGTATATCTGGATGTTGTACAATGAACTAGATGTTACTGGAAAATACAACACAAGTTGATTCTAACTTAGTCCACAGATAGAACATACACATGTGGACAAATTATCGACATCCAGAAAATAATACCAAGAGAAAATGAGTCTCTTAAAATAATAATAAGGTATGACTAAGATATTAGGTGTTGGTGTTAATATGCTATATTTGCTCAATTTTTTTACTTCATGTTATTCCCTTCCAATTAAAAAAAAAGAAGTCTGACTTGTTAGCTCAGTTGGTTACAGCATGGTGCTGATAACACCAAGGTCCAGGGTTTGGTCCCTGTACCAGCCAGCTGCCAAAAAAACAAAACAAATCAAAACAAACTACACAAAACTAATTTTAAAAAGAGTAAATCTATAGCACAAAAATTAAAATCCTAGAAAGAAATATTAAAACTGACTGTGTTTTAGCAGAATTACAGATGATCTGTTTCTTCTAATTTCCCGTACTTTTCTTTTACAAAGAAATAAGCACTGATGAAACAGTTCACATAATTCCTAAACTAATCCCATCTCCCACCCCCACCTTAAAATAGCTAATTGTTTTAGAGCCATAAAAGCAGTAAAGAACATCACAATTAGTGGCAGACAATGTTAGTATTAACTTGCCTAGCATTTTTCGCTTTAACATTTCTTTATCAAAGAATTGCTTTAATCTAAAGCCAACAAACCCCAAAAGAGACAAATGTGGGATTAAAGATGTGGAGCCTGGCTGTAGGCCAAGGCCCGGGCAATTCATCCAGCATCTACCACACCTAGCCAGCTACCCCACGTACCATTTTATGTTTGATTTCTCATACTAAGGTCCTGGTCCAAACAAGATAAGATGTAATTTAAAGCAACCAAATCTAGGCAGATCTGGCCATGTGTGGTACGAAGTGGCTGCCTGGAACATGTGTCTGCAATTCTAATACAGCTCTACATCTAGGAGGAGACAGAATAGAGTAAGGTAGGGCTACGGCAAATCCTGATCCTCTCCCCCTGCATCAAAGTTAGTTCCTGAAACTATCTTCAGATGTAAATGTAGCTCAGTTACTTATTTACTACTCATCCCTCTTTCATATAAATACACTGAGGTATATGCCTACCAGAATTTCCAACATAAAGTGTAAGCACTTCTAAGCAAAGGATGCCAAAGGGCTCAGATCTGGAACCCACCATATAGTTCTCTTTTCCTTTGGTTTAGAGAGCAAGTGCCAAAGGAAAGGGGAAAGGATAAAAGCAAATATAACAGAAGGGGGTTTAAGTATGTAAGAGCTGATGGGCTTATAAAAAATAAAGAAATAAACAATTCTGAAAGAATTTGTTTGAGCTAGCTCCTCAAGGTTAGTTTAAAAATCATCTCTAATAGCAAACAAGATGCAATTCAGGTTTGAAAGGACACATATCTAAACATTTACACTGGAAAGCAAGAAGCATCCATCACAAACTGATGCCAAAAATTTCTTTTTAAAAAGTCTGGCCACACCGGAACAGGCAGGAGCCATGGGACCTCCAGCCCAGGTCAGTCCCCGCTGCTTGGAGAGGACCAAGGGCCACCGGTCCCACACACCCCTAGTCAGCTGCCTAAACAGGCAGACACCGTGGGACCCCCAGCCCAGGCCAGTCCCTGCTACCCAGAGAGACCCGAGAGCCACTGAGCCCACACAACCCAAGACAGTGGAGCCAGAACAGGCAGACACCGCACGCTGCAGGACCCATAGCCCAGGCCAGTCCCTGCTGCCCAGTGAGGTGCAAGAGCTGCCGGGCTCACATGCCCTGAGCCAGCTGTGCCAGAACAGGCAAATATCACGAGACCCCCAGCACCAGGCTAGTCCCCACTTCTCAGAATTGGCAGTCCCTTCAGGATCCAGCCCAGACATCAGGGTGGGATGAGGGACTGTGATACCCACTGCCACAATGACTAAACACCAAAGGAAAGATACCAGAAAGACAAAAAATCAAGGAAATACATCACCACCAAGGAAAATAACAACTCTCAAGCTCTAGATCCTATAGAACAGGAAGTCCTTAAAATGACTGACAAGGAATTTCTAGCAACAATTCTAAGGAAACTAAATGAGATACAAGAAAACCCAAACAACACAATGAAATGAGAGAAAATATACAGGACCTGAAAGAAGAAATGTGCAAAGAAATCAATGCCCTGAAAAGAAAGCAGAGCTTGTGAAGCTGAAGGATTCATTCAATGAAATAAAAAACACAACAGAGAGTCTAACCAGCAGGCTAGAACAAGAAGACAGAATTTCTGACTTTGATGACAGGCTATTTGAATTTAATACAGGTGGATCAGAAAAAAGAAAAAGGAATTTAAAAAATTGAAGAAAATCTAAGAGAGATAACAGAGAACCTCAAGTGCTCAAAAATCTGCATCATGGGTTTTCCAGAAGGGAAAAAAAAGAAATGGAATTGAAAACATATTCAATGAAATGACAGCAGAAAACTTCCCAGGTATAGGGAAAATCACAGATTTTCAGATTCAGGAGGGTCAAAGATCCTGAAACATATTCAACACAAAAAGTTCCTCTCCAAGAAATGCTCTAGTCAAACTGCCAAAACTCAAACACAAAGAGAGAATCTTAAAAGCTGCAAGAGAGAAGCATCAAGTTACCTATAAGGGATCCACAATCAGACTAACGTCAGACTTTTCATCACAAACCCTAAAAGCCAGAAAAGAATGGGATGA